ACAATTTTTTTAACATGACACATTGAGGTGTAAGGCCAACTATATCAATATGGAAATAACAAAAATACAATAATTATATATACCTACTGAGATGCAACTGATAGATTTTGCATAATTAGATCGTGCGTGCAGTGGCATGAATCTTATAAACGTGTAACGAGTGTGTGCCTGGTTTTAATTAATTTTTCAAAATTTTTATAGGATATTTTTTTGTTACGATCTCAAATCATATATAGATCTTAGAAATGAGTACGTTGGATCTTAATAAATTTCTTTTAATCTCACATGTTGTGATTTCACATTTTGTCATATATCTTTTTACTTTTACCTCATTACATATTTGACTTTTATTTACTTGTTATGATTAATTAGGTATTACAAAGACTTATGTGAGACCGTCTCACGGATCTTTGCACCTGAGACTAGTCGGATTGTAAACTAATGGGTGTATACGTATAACAAATAATTCAGTTATAATTATTACAATATTTATCATTAGTAACAATTAGTTTTACAATAAATAGTATCACAATTTCACATATAAGTATTACAATATCTATCATAAGTAACGATTTATTTTTAATTCAAATTGGTATTAAATTTTATAAAATAAGTATAATTCAAATTTCTTTCATAAGTTACATTTCACATATAAGTATTACAATATTTGCATTGGAATTAAATTTTGTAAGTATTATCATTTCAGCTATAAGTATTACAGTTATTATTAGTAACATTCATTTTATCTTAAATAGTATCATAATTTCACATATAAATAATACAATATCTATTACAAATAACAATTCATTTATTTCAAATTGGTATATAATTTTATCATTTAATTAACAAAATTTATGAGAGAAATTACATGTTAGGGCAAGAAAATTGAATGATTAAATTACATGTTAGTCATTTTTGTCAAATTTTAAAATGACAAATTTTAAATGAATGACTAATTGTGTCAAACAAATAAAAATCAATGATGTAATAAAATAAAATTAAAAGTATAGGACTAAATGTAATCGGACTAAAAATGAAATTTAATCTACTCATAAAAGGAATATATAAAAAATCTTTTCATCTTTAATATTGCAATTTTATTATTAAAATGAACGAAAATGGAATGTTAGAGCCAAAATCATGGCAATGACTTCAATCCTCAGACAATATGAAGTGGGAGAAGGTGGTAATTAATCCAGTAATGATTTTCTCATTTTCTGTTTGGCGTGAAAAGTTTAAATTCAAAAACTAATAAAAGTCAAAACCAAATATTAGGTGTAAAATCTTTTCATTGATTAGGTATTGTATTAATTTAATCTTTATTAAAATTCCAACAGTAATCATGTAAGATATATATCAAAATATATTTTTAAGAGGGTCAACATATAACCTAATGTCAATCATTAAATTTATACAAGACCACAATTGAAGACTAAATATAAAATAAAAAGAATTTATAATATCAAATAAATACTGTATATACTATAAAAAAAAAAAAAGTAAGCAATAACATTTTGGTTCTTATAAATGATTGTTATTTTATTTATAATTTATTTGAATAATAGATGTCAAAATATAAAATAAAATTTGATGTTGGAGTAAGTTTAATTTAATGTCATCATCATTTGATTAAAGTTAAAGTTGTTGATTCAAACAAGTGATTATCAGCACTTATTGATGACCTGGAATTGAGATTGGAAATTGTGAGGTGTAGTTAATGAGGTTTGATAGACAAAATGAAAATTAATTAATGGCAGAATTAGTATTGTGTTCAACAATCATTAAACTATAGCCTATAGGCATGGCTGTCGGGTTACATAGGCTCTCTACCTATGATCTATGTGTTGTACTGTACCTGCCTTCAATTCCATGTCTTTAATTTGCGCCTTGCTGGACTTCAATGCCTCTTCTTAATTGCCCGCTTCCCAAAAACATAAATAAACAAAATTTTTACGTACCAATATTACATGTGTTGTAATTTGTATTTTTAGTTTTACTATTGCTAGCCGCTATATATATGATATTAACATGGAATGGGAGTATCATGGCTGGGTTATGCAATCAAACACCTTTGTAATAATTGAAAAAGATCCAGCAATAACAAGAATTGAAAAAGAAAAGATATGATTGTTTGCCTTTTACTCCCTTCTATGATGTTCTTTAAAAGGCCACATTAATCCATGGATTGCGACGTTGAAATGACTTTTTGCAAAAAAAAAAAAAAGTATAATGGGAGGTTTTATAGGCAAATTATGTTGTGGACTCGTGTCAAACGACGTCGTTTTCAGAGAAAATGATGGTATCTCAGAGAAATTAATTATGAACATATAGTGATAAAAATTATGAATTTACAGTTATTGAATTATGAATGTACAGTTATTGAATTATGAATGTACAGTTACAGAATTATGAATGTACAGTTATGGAAGTATGAATATACAGTTATGAAATTATGAACACAGAGATCTGACATTATGAACATATAGTGATAAAATTATGAACATATACTCCTATAACGAAGCGGTCTATTAAATATCTAAAAGATTTAATTTTAATTGAATGATTTTTTAAAAAATAATTGTTAGGAAATTCAAATGTAAACATTAGATATAGTACATTATTAAGTGTATTAGTCTTTTTTTGTGTGCAATGTGTAATGGTGGTAATGGGATGAAGTGTGAGAGAGTATCTTCACACGGGATATATATCATTTTCAAAGCGTGGATCAAAGTGGAGTTGAATAGTGAGTGTTTGGAACCTAATTCGGACGAAGAGATGAGATTAATGTGAGAATAGTAAAATCAAGGAAATGAACAATCAAATTGATAAACAATCAAGCAACAATTTTGAAACAATTGTGTAGATGCTATAGTGTTCGTAGGATAAAGACCGTGTAATGCTTCAACAAGGGGACTAGAGAAAAGATATTAGAGGCCAATGTCACTCTCATGGGCATTGGACTCTCAATTAGAGCTAAGCTCCATTCTGATGGTGACTCACGCCAATTGAAGCAATTTATCAAACATATGGTGTTCACGTCTCCTTCTAACTCTCTTTTCTCAAAGTGGAGTTGGACTAGTGAGAAGCATGGCTATGGTGTTGCTCTATTCTCATAGAGGCAACACCTTGTCCATGCACCTCTTGCATAATCTATCCACAATTATACAAGAGTTAACGCAAATCACCAAGCTCATAACTACGACTATCATTGAGTAATTACACAATCTAGCATTGCAATTAAAATCACATAGCATCCACAAGAAAAAGAACTTAATTTGAATCCCTAATTGAATCTAGCTACCCATGATTGGAATTGAAATGAAACACATTGCAAGAACAATTGAAAGAAAGAAAAGTGCAAAGAAAATAAGAAAGACTTAACTTTGAGCAAGAATAATGAAAGATGAAATCTGGAAATTGCAATTGTAGTTTATTACAAGCTGAAATGGTTTTCAATTCTTCATCAAATATGGATTGATTACAAAAGAAAATGTTTAGAGAGGTTTTACAACAAGAAAACCCTAGAGAGAGAAATTAAAAAATGAGAAGTAATCTAAAAATAACAGTAAATGCATATATATACGGATATACCCTCAGATCCACGCAAAGGTAACTTTCATGCACTCTGGACGCGTGGTCATGGTCACTAACTGTGATTGTGACCGTGACCGTGACCGTAACCGTGACTAGGGGACGAAGCTGCGGATTCTAGACCTCCGGGTTGGGAGGTCAACTAGTATGGTTGTTTACTTTATGCATTAGTTCTCGTTTCTAAGCCATTTCTTGTAAAAGTTCGAATTAGGTTTTGTGGCCTTCATTGAAGTTATAGCTCTTTGAATTATCTTTCTAATGCTATTTGAATCACTTGATTTGGAAATTCTTACGCTGAGATATAGCTAAAATACAGAGATGTTGCCTGACAGAGAAAACATAGCAGAAATATGTCATGCTGACAATCACGACTGTAACTGTCTGTGTTTGTCCCTTTGGGTCCTCAGGTCATCCCATGATACTTTCACCATGCTATTTTTCACTTTCTTAACCTCTGATAACTCATGGAACACACCTTTATGCCAATATGATTTCAAAAATCAAAACACAATCAATTGGGCTCCTATTTACAAGATCTTACAATCAATGCCTCCAAATTACCTAAATGACACAAAAGGATTAAATAAGAACATACTTAGCTCCCACTTAACATAAAATTATATGAGTTTGATGTCAAATGTGCACATAAAAGTAGTAAGAAGTAGCGCTTATTAAATGCTTATACTTTATGCTTAACTTATCAAAAGGGACCACAAATCAAGAGGCAAAGTTCATGCTTGAATGTCTAGCTCCATATATATAATAAATATAATTGAATAGTAGTTTATTTCTATATAGCGATTATAGAACATTTATTAGTAGTTCATTATTTGGTGATTTGATTAGATTTGTTAATATTAGGCCATTAGAGGGAATGTTGATGCCACCTTGGGTTCTACTCGAGAATATGTATGGGGTTTAGGTGGATTATATGGAATTGGAGGGGTGATTCCATTGGTGCAAAGGCGATGCCTTGCTTTGGGTTGTTTGAAGCCAGGGAAGTGAAATCTATGAGCTTCAAGAGGCTCTAAGTTGGTTGAATGAACTTTGTATTGACTATTAACAAGGTAGAGGTCGAGACGAATGCTTAGGATGCATGTGGTGGTTGTTGTGTACTAGGAATTTGGCTCTTCACATTTAGGATGATAATTAACGATATTTATTAGAGGATTATTCTAGCAGTTAGCAATCCGTTAATATGTTAATCTAGCTGTTATTAGTAGTTAGTTGGTTAATGTCAGTTAGCTTCAGCTTTTCCTCTTCTGTATAGAACATATAAACCCTGTGGTTACTGTTTCATTGGTTGTTGTTGATTTCAGATCAAGATTGAATAAAACATCTTCTTCTTTCCTTTCCTTCTTCTGAGTTCTAACATTCGTGATATGGTATCAGAGCACTGAGCTGCGATTATGGCGTGGAACGGCGCAACGAGCAGGCCTCTTACGGCTACAACAGATCCTTCATCAGTGGCGACACCACCTAATACAGCACCGGCGAATTCGATTCCCACCAGAGCAAATTTTGATACAAATGACGCTGCCAGTCCTTTCTTCCTACACCCAAATGAGAACCCCTCCCTGGTTCTGGTCTCATCAGTCCTCAATGGCCGGAACTACCACCCTTGGGCCAGGGCAATGGAGATGTCACTGCTGTCCAAGAACAAATTAGGGTTTGTCGATGGCACCATTGTAGTGCCAAGTGCAGGAGAAGTGTAGTACCCCTACTGGAAGAGGTGCAATAACATGGTGTCGACTTGGATTATGCGTTATGTCTCCCCAGAGATCGCACAGACCATTCTTTGGGTTGGGACAGCAGAGAAAATATGGAACACCTTGAAGGCTAGATTCAGCAAGGCAGACATCTTCAGAATTTCTGATCTTCATGCTGAAATTCATCAGATAAGGCAGGGGGACTTGACCGTAAGTGCCTACTTTGCTAAACTAAAATGTTTGTGGGATGAACTTCAGGTTATCAGGCCATTACCTATGTGTAAATGTGAAAGGATGTGTGATTGTGGGCTATTAGAAACACTACAGCATCATATAGAGAGTGATAACCTCTCTGTGTTTCTAAGAGGTCTTAATGAAACCTATGTATCTGTTCAATCCCAAATAATGATGACCAAGCCCCTCCCTTCTGTTGATGAGGCATTCATAATGGTCCAACAACAAGAAATGAGGCTTAATAATGGAATAACAGGAATGCAAATCCAAGAAGCAGGAAGTATCCTCCTCACCCAGGGGAATGGCTCAGGACCTAAGAAATTTCATTCCAACAATAACAATAAAAAGCCTATCTTCTCTTATTGTGGATTTACTGGACACACCATAGAGAAGTGTTACAAGAAACATGGTTATCCACCTGGGTGGAAACAAAGAAATAGAAGTGTTGGTTTTGCAAATCAAGTGCAGTTCACCCCTGATGATCAAACTCCTAGTGAAAATAATAGTTCTGTCACCTTGAGCCAAGATGAGTACAGATTACTTAAACAGTTTTTGCAAAGAGATAGCATGGTCCACAATTCCTCACCCTTGAATGAAGCTTGAGGAATGACACCTCAAGTCAATCTGATTGCTGCTAACTTTGCCCCTAATTCACAGCTTGAAGGTACTCATCACAAACACTTTCTTGAAAATAAAGCTAGTTGGATACTAGATAGTGACCCATCATGTTATTTATCATCATGGTATGTTGACCAATGCAACGAGGGTTGAAGGTATGTTGTAGAACTACCTAATGGTGATAGAGCTGAAATCACTCATATAGGATCTATTTGTGCAGACAGTCTGATTTTGTAGAGATTATTCTGTGTACCTGCATTCCACTATAATTTAATCTCTGTCAGTGAATTGATTAAAACTTCCAAGTGTAAACTGCTGCTACATTCTGATCTGTGCATTATACAGGATCAGGAGTCTGGGAGGATGATTGACTTGGCTAGCTTGCAGAAAGGGTTATATCATCTTGTGAAACCTGTTTTTTATGTTTCTAGTAAAGTGGAACAGTTTAGGGCTAATGCTTGTAATTCTAGTAGCATTTGGCATGCTAGACTAGGATCTTGTAATTCTGGTTGTTGTTGATTTTAGATCAAGATTGAATAAATCATCTTCTTCTTTCCTTTCCTTCTTCCGAGTTCTAACATTCGTGATAATATTAGAGAGATGACTTCTACTTTTAATATTGTGATGTTCTTATTTGCAAAAAATGATTTGTGAATTTGGGGTGAGCGTTGCGGATTTGAGGTGGATCCACATCCAATCTGTTTAAGGTAGATTTAAAAAGTCTAGACTGCTTCCATCAGGCGAGCGGATCCAATATATTCCAATCTTCCCCCTCCCCCCATGAATTTGAATTCAACAGTACTACTACTACTACTAGTACTTCTATCATGGAATTACAATTCTTTTCTTTCTAAATTTTTTTCTCCCAACCAAACGTCATGTTAGAGCCTCCCTTTTTATGATTTTTGGAAAGATTTTTACAAACCAAAAAACTTGATTGGAGGTTTTTAACAAATGGAATGAGTGATTTTTCTTGAGTTTTTTCTTGTGCGTTGTGTGCACCTGTTGCGACTAGCTGGTGCATGCACGACATGTGCGAGCTGCGACTAGTTGGTGCATGCACTATACGTGCGAGCTAGCGCATAAATCCAAACTTAATAATAATAATAACAATAATAATAATAATAATAATAATAATAATAATAATAATAATATTATTATTATTATTATTATTATTATTATTATTATTATTATTATTATTTTGTTGTGAGACTTTTTTTTTCCTCTCCTCCTACTACTCTCTCTCTCTCCTACATAGCTATGATAAAAATCAACTCAAAAATTTCATTAATAAAGTTGCTCTTTTAGTATTTTTAGTCTGAGATGATCAGCTTTGTCACTAGACAAGACATAATCTCATCCAGAAAAAAAAAAAAAAAAAACAATGTACATTAGTACTTATTAATTATAAAATTCTACTTTATGTACTTTCAAATCTTACTTCCTAAAATTTAATCCCTGATATGACGGACATTGATAAGTTTTTTTTTTTTTTTTTTTTTTTTTTTTTTGTTTTTTTTTTTTGTTTTTTTGTTTCATGTGAGCCCCTATAAATGTGTCTACATTAAAATTCTAAGTTTGAAAGTAAATTTAAGAGTAGAGAACGTGAGTACATATACTATTTTCCTTAATGATATATGGGGATACGTAAGAGAAATCGAAAGTAAAATTAACAGTAAATATATAACTAAGAATGGGTAAAAAACATAGGGAGTAAATAATATTGATCGCTGCGCTGGACCGCTGGTGGTATAGTAGTAGTACTAATAATATTTCTACAACTACAAACGCACACCTACAGTTGCAGCCTTGCACCCATTTCAATAACCCAATTCTTTGTAGTTTAAAAAAAAAAAAAAAAAAAAAAAAAAAAAAAAAAAAAAAAAAAAACTCTTTGTAGTTTGTACTCACACAATTTTTTTTTTTAATTATTACTCGTATTAACAATAAAATATTAATAATTTCTTGTTTTGTTTTTTACAATAATTTGTTTATCAAGTTATCACCACCCCACCTGTGCCTCGATCCTAGAAAAACTCTGAGATTTGAATCAGGAAGTCTCCTCTCCTCAATCCTCATTCCTTCCCTTTCTCTCCACTATTTCTATCCAACTTTTCCTTCATTTGCAATTTCTCCTTTTGCACTCAAAAGTTGAAACCTCTTCAACTTCATATCCATCCCCACAACTCTTTTCTCCTTCAATTCTTCTATATGCCTCAGCTCAGTGTTTAACCAAAATGCAGCAGCAGAAGCAGTTCTTGCATGAGCTTCTGAGAGAAGAGCAAGAGCCCTTTCAGCTCAACACTTACATTGCCGACCGGAGGTGTCAGCTGAAGAAGGCGGTGGTGGTGCCCAAAACCTCCGTTCACCTCAAGAAGTCCTCTGCTACCAAGCGCAGTCTCTGTAAACATGCGTGTTTCTTCTCCTTCCAAGACTCCTCGCCGGATGTTCGCAAGTCTCCTCTCACCTTTCCCTCGCCTCTCTCCGGCAAGACGCCGAATGGGAGGGTGAGGCTTAACGTTCCGGCGAGAACGGCGGCTCTGCTCCTCGACGCGGCCTTGAGGATTCAGAAGCAACAACAGGGTGAGAAAAAGGGTAGACCCCAGATCAAGAACGTTGGGTTGGGGCTGTTTGGGTCGATTCTGAAGCGATTGAAGGATCGAAACAGGAACAAAAAGAGGGAGAATAAGAAGAACGGTGCTGAGGATCAGAGGAAGTTCATCATAGGTTCCGGCAAGGATGATGATAATAATGTAGTAAATGAAGGTGTGGAGGTGAAGGGAAATGGAGATGGAAGTATGGGAGTTTCTTGCTATAGTAGGCTTAGTAGTGCGGGGTGGTCGGAGAGCAACGAAGAGAAATCTTTGGATTTGGAGACTTCCAGTAGTTGCAGGTCGGAAGAAATCGAGGAGAGATTGAGCGCCGATTTCCAAGCCTTTGAAACCCTCTTCTGTTCAAGCCCTCTAAGCCCATTCAGATTCTCCCTCGAAAGATGCGAATCTCCTGGTCGCCGGACGCCGGACTTCTCTTCTCCGGCGGCTTCCCCGAATCTCTGCAGACGACAGGTGCGTCTCTCTCTGTCTTTTTCCTAATGGAATTATCACTTAATCATAAATTTTTTTACTGCTACACGTAATAGAAAGAAACATCGGAAAAGGAACAACTGACTCGGCGAGGTGAAAACGAGTCAACCCGTGAGTCGGACCGGAAATTAAGTTTGACCTGGTTTAATAAGCTGTCGGCAAACGGATCAACGTAGGTGGATTCTGTGGCCGGAATGTCGGCCTGAAATGACCAAGATGCCACTGCGCCTACCCTTCACTATCCTTAATCATTGATAACTTCACCTACGTAAACCAGCGAGTTAGTGAGGTCATAGATGTCATTCTCTTCACGTAGCATCAGATATCTGTTTTATTTTTTTGGGTTTTCATTTCGCTTCTGCCACCAAAATCTTTTTTCAATTAGACTTTGTCTGCAAAATTATTTCCGCTAAAGGACAAATCAAGATTTTGTATTATCATTTGGACCCAAGTGCGAATACCCCAAATGCCATTATTGTCTTAATTTATTCCATTTTTTATTTTGTTACACCTTTAACCTACGTGGAATAAAACTATACACTCAAACTTTCTTCATCCATCCCATGGCCTCTTCAACACTAGCATTTTCAAAATAAATGTAATTAAAATGTACACAGCTTATACTATTTAAGTTAAGTTTATTTCATTAAACCATAATAGTGTTATGTTTTTTAAGGGTGACAAGAAAATTAGTCACCTAGGATGTTGTTGGGCGTGGACTGTGTTAGTTGAGTTCAGCCCTTTGTTCGATTCTGGCATTGTGGCTTACTAGTTAAATGGTTAATGTCCAGTTACTTATTACCAATTGGTTTTAAGTAGGATATAACACTCAAATATGACAATCAGATAAGTAAAAAAGAACTTTGTGGTCAAGTGTGTTTGACTTTGAGCTGTCACACAGGATAGGTGAACAAGAAGAGGAGGATTTTGAATGTGATTTTGATTTTTTTAAAAAAAATTGTTGTTATTACAGGAGAAAGATAATTATGAAAATGGAGAGATCGAAAATGGTGAGCAAGAAGAGGAGGATGAGAAGGAACAATGCAGTCCAGTGTCGGTATTGGATCCTCCATTTGAGGATGGGGTGGAGGAGGAGGAGGAGGAGGAGGACGATGAAGGGCACGATAGCGATCTTGAATGCAGCTATGCCATCGTACAAAGTACGTAGTAAATTATTTATGTTCCCAGGTGAAAGTAAATGAATCATTGTTAGTTGATTGTGAAGTCATTTTCAGTGATCTTTGAATAGTAGTTTGTTTGATTATTGGGCACTTTGATCAACATGTATATGTATATGCTCATCTCTGAGGTGTCATAGTCGATATGAGTACACCGATTGTGATGCATGAATAACTGATCAGATAGTACGACGTTATGTTGATGATGTTCTGTTGTTGAATTCATGTGTGTTTTTGCATCTGCACAGCTTTTTTCTGTTTCTGTCTCATGATGATCTTATTTTGTCTAATTTCGGTTTTGTATGATGGTTAGGGGCACAGCAGCAGCTGTTGTACAAGCTTCGAAGATTTGAGAAGCTAGCAGAGTTGGATCCAATCGAGCTCGAGAAAATCATGCTCGAAGGTGAAGAAGAAGAAGAAGACGACTATGAGGATAATGCTGCAGAATGTGTAGACCACAAGCCCTTTTCATCATCTCGCGGTGATGATGAAGATATCAAGACGTTTGCAAGCAATGGCATCATCCCTTTCGAGATAAAAAGGCTGGTTTCGGACCTAATTTCAGAGGAGAAGACAGAGACGAACCGGGAAGTCGTGTGGGGAAGAGTATGCAAGAGGTTGGATTCATGGAAGGAAGCGAAATCGGACACCATAGACATGATGGTCGAGTTGGACTTGAGAACGGGGTCGTGTGAGTGGAAGAGTTTTCGCGAGCAGGTGGAAGAAACGGCAATGGAGATCGAGGTTCAAATCTTTGGATCACTGGTGGATGAATTCTCAGGAGAGCTCATCAGTGGAAGGCTGAATCAAATTTTGACTTAATCTACATAATAATAATAAGATTAGTTTTTAATTTGTTACTTAGTTGAAATGGAGGATAAATAAATTAACATGCATTAAGGAGGGATATGTTAGGCTAATTTGTGAGACCATGGGGGGAGGTTTTATTGTTGTAGTGACAGGACATTTCCTCATGTTGGTGTACCATGTATGAAAAGTGAAGTTTAATCTATCCTTAGCATATATAATCATATCATATGGTTTCTTGAAAATGTGTTTCAACATCTTACCTTAGTGGTTTTAGTGTTTACCTATATCGGTTACTTGACCCGACTTATTTTCAATGTTACCTGTTACAAGTAGAAGAGATAAAGCTGGGGGCAAAACCAGTCAAGTTGATCAAACTGTTGACTTTGTAATCATACTGTTACAAGTTTAATTTGACGTCCAACAGGAGCACTTATTGACCTTTTTGGTTTGAACTGATCAACTATAGACAATCTAGGCTGATTTATCTTCTTGCAACTGGCGAGTTTCCCTCGATCGGGAGTCACCCATATATTAAACCCTACAAATATAATAGCAGTCAAAATTGCAATGAGAGACAAGTATCTTTATGGGTTTGATGGTTGACATTCAAATTATTCCATTCATTTCAAAGACCATACAAAGTACCATAAAATACTTTGGGAGGATAAACCTTGAAAAAAGAAATGAAGTAGAGAATATGTTTGAGAGGTGGCATAGGACATAAATTGATTATTATTGAGAGTACAGCTTTCATTTCCCTTGGTGGAAATATGCAATTGGAATCTCTTCTCTTATCCTTTCTTTCTTTATACACTTCTGTTTTTATTTCCTCCTTGCCAGCAAACAAAGCAATGGCTATATTTAATTCTCTACACAACAAAGGAAAGAGCAGAAACTTTAATGGGAAAGTGATGGGACCACCCACCAAATGGTTCATAATTGTTTAATGGAAATCTAGAGATCAATTATTACTTGTGTTTTTTATTTTAACTCCATTTTACAGGGTGAAGTGTTGTCTTGTTACCACTTAATGTTTGGCACAATATTAGAAAACCTTGCTGGCTCCCCCGGAATATTAAACATCATCTTTTGTGTCGTTTGCCAAGTTAGTATATAAGAATAGAGTTTATCCAATGTACACTTTCATATAATAATTGTGAATTTTTCACGTTATCAAAAAAAAAATAATAATAAATAAATAAATCTCAACTCAACCTAAGTGTAGAGACAACAACTCACAAAATCCTTAAAACAATACACACACCTATATACATAGGGTCAGGTTCTCGTGCGGTCACGCACCATTAGATACACATAAATGTACTATAAAGTATTCGAAAATACACCATTAGGTGTTGTGCATTTTTTTGTGTGTGGGCAAAAACTTGTGTGAGACAGTCTCGCGGATCTTTGTTTGTGAGACAGGTCAGATCAAAATGAGATATAATACTTATACTAGCAAATGTAATACTAAACTAAGAATAAACTGTTTATTTACTTATATGAAAAATATAATACAAAAAAAATGTAAAAGTATTACATTTTCCTTTATAAGTACAACATTACTTAATAAGGAAAATATAATACTTTTGATAATAAAAAAAAATAATACGTTTACATCAAAATATAAAAGTATTACATATTTATATTTGTTTTCAAAAGTATTACGTTTTTCCTTATAAGTAATAAATATTTTATTCTTGATTTAGTATTTAATTTGCATATTGTCTCAAGCCGACCCAACCTGTCTCACGGATAAGGATCCGTAAAACGCACTACTGGAAATTATAGAATTTTCGACCACCTGAAAGTGATCTTAAATCAAGTTGATACCAAAAAGTGGTCGAAAATAGCAACTAAGGTTTTTCCGGATACCAAAAGTGGTCGGAACAAGGCTTTCGACTTGATTTAAGATGACTTTAAGGTGGTCGGAAATTTCATAATTTCCAGTAGTGACGGTCTCACACAAGCGTGACCCTTTAGTGTGTAGTGTATTTGTACATTTAATTCTAGTGCATTTTCGGACACTGTATGATGTATTTATACATACCTAATGGTGCAATACGTTCCGATCGCACAGGAAGTCATGTCCTCATTTGAACTAGTATCTAAAAATTTAAATAAAAGTTAACGTACTTTTATCTTGATCCAAATTGAATTACCCTGATAACTTTTACCTTTTATTTTACTTGAGAATAGATAGAAAGCTTATGTCCACGCTCCCAATTTCTTTTCTTTTTTAAATGGCGTGGTACAACATATTAAAGAAAATATTAACCTTTTTTGTATATCAATGATAATATGTTGAATTTTACTATCACCATTATGGCATTATATTTTTCCGGTCTGTATATTTCTATATAATAAAGCGATTTGTCACTGAAAGTAATATGGGTGGACCATGACAAGAACTACAGGTGTTCAGAAACTGTTTAAAATTGCTACATACATTAATGGATATGATGGACCAACTGATTATTGGTGTCATAATTAACTACTCCGTATCTTTTATCACTTTGCATCATATCACTTTATTTTTGATGACATATAGTGAACCCAGAGAGAGATGTAACCAATAATTATGGCATGCTAGCATCTATCTATTAATTTATAGATGGGACATTCTTATCATCACAATTATAAAAGATGAAGGAATTGAAGAATGATCGAATAAACATTATTTGTGTTAAGGTTGTGTGTGTGTATATATTATTTATATTATCCTCTTAATCTTCATAATTGAAGTGCCTTAATAAGAATTGAAAGAGAAACTCAATGGCCGGTGCATATGCTATCCACTTGTAGACTGCCTCATTGAGGATTCAAACTCGGGTATTCGCTGAGTCACTACACCCAAATTTAATCTTTGAGTTAATACCCAAAATCGTTCTCGATTATAGTGATTTTTCTCAATTTCGTCCTAAACGATTTTGGTGACCTAATATCGTCCCAAACTTTTGTGTTTCGCTCAATTTAGTCCTCCATTTGTTATTCCGTCAAATTGGTGTTAAATAAAGGGACAATTCAATAATGTCAATATTGATCTCTCTTTACTTTCAACTTGTGAAGTGTGAAATTCCTCTTTCTTGTACGAATTACACCCATAATTACTCTCAGACCTGCAAATCAAATTTTATATTCGCAGTTTTAGGAGTAATTTTGGGAATAATTCGTAAAAAAAAAAGGGGTTTCGCAGTTCACATGTCCCTAAGTAAAGATATGCCAATATTAAAATTACTGAATTGTTTATTTATTTAACACCAAATGGACAGAATAACAAATGAGGGACTAAATTGAGCAAAAACACAAAAGTCTGGGACTAAATTGAGCGAAACACAAAAGTCTGGGATGATATTAGGTCACCAAAATCGTTTAGGACGAAATTGAGAAAAATCACTATAATCGAGGACGATTTTGGGTATTAACTCTTTAATCTTTTGATCATAGAGTTATGCCCCGACCGAACACAAAAGCAACTGTTATTGTTGTTGCATTATATACTCTATATTTCCCAAACATGTTCCACATAGAATGGGATTATTAGAGGCTTAGAGCATCCCAATAGAGAGATTTTGGATGATTTTTGCAGTTTTTACATCCATATGGAAAAGAGAAAATGTTGAATTCCTTTTGTAAAACTTAGTTTTTTGTGAGACTCACTGTCCCACAAAAAACAATGACTTTTTCATAGTTGCGCGTTAGGGCAATTGATGCCCATTAGGCGCGTTAGTTCTATTACTTTTTTTTTCCCTCCTTTTCCTTCTCTCTCTTAATCACCTCTACAAAACGAACTAAAATCTCCATCTATTGATGTTGCTCTTATTAACTCTAGTTTTAATTTTTTATAAAAAATACAATATCATCAAAAGAGAAAGATTTGAAAGTGTTTGTCATCATATCACTGAATGGGAAGAATTGGCAGTACTGAGGAAATGCTAGTACAGACAAGTTTAATTTGAATTAGGAAGGGGGAGGGGTGTGGGTGGGTGGGTGGGGTGGGGGGGGGGGGGTTTGGGGGTGTTTCTTCTATGCTGCGCTGTTGCATGCATGCAGGCTGGCATCTGATCTGCAAGTAGAGACAATTAAGTGGGCGAGCATGCGGCATTTTTACAAGCTTACAACCGCTTGCTTCCTCCATGCTAATCGACACTCTTCTATCTGTATGCATCACTTTATAAATTTCAAAGTAAAAAACAACCCTATTTTTACAGTGTTTAATTTCATGGGAATAGTTTGTACGTACCGTTTGAACCAGGACGGGTTGGGAGCTATAGTGCTATACTATTGGAAACGGATGTAAATTGATATAAATTGATGTTGGGAGGAGGTCAGTGAAGGTTCAAGTCCAGCACCGGGTGGTGGTTAGAGGATTATATTGTTGGGCGGAGGTTGAATTGAATTGAAGGACCAAGTACTCCAGCACCCTCGTAGGCAAAGAGAATTGTCGGGCTGACTGCGATGAAAAGTCAAGTCTAGCACTAGATAACTAGGGGGTTGTTGGGCGGAGGCTTGAAGGGCCAAGTCAGCACTCTGTAAAAAATGTGACGGTATAAAGAAATAATGTTACGCCATTCGCAACGAGTTATAGCTTTTAACGTAATAGTAAACACTTGATCTTAACGATTTACACAATTTAAAACAATGGGTCAATATATGTTAGGTCATATAAGGAGTTTTATTATACTTCAAAATACATTCCCCACAAATTTTTGCTAAAAACAAAATTAACTCAAGGTGTATGTCGCACACACTATCCTTAAAACTGATTCATCACTTCCTTAAAACGAATTGGCCTGGTCGATTATAGTGTGCAAAATATCCTACCCAATACAAGGTAATTATACATGTACTGATTCATTTACACCCCAGGACGCTAGGAGCATGCGTTGAAGGGCCATCGATTTTAATTTACAAAATATTTTACCCAACACAAGGTATTTATAGAAAAATAGATATTGCGGTGGCAAATTTTCAAGCTTTCTCTTCATATTGTATTTTTTTCACCGTTTTCCATTGTTTCTATTATTAAATTAACCCGATATTATTGTCTATAGGCCTTCACATATGTCTCTCTTTCTCTCTCTGCATATTGTAATGTTTGATCCATCCTAACTTGGGATGAACGAAGAAGGCAAAAATTATGAACTACTCTTACAATAAGTTAAATTAAAGTCCACTACTGGAAATGATGAAATTTTCGACTACCTGAAAGTGATCTTAAATCAAATCGAAAACCTTGTTC